TTGCAACCTTGAGCCTTGAGCCTTGAACCTAAAGGGCAGAAGACTGAAGCCCTCGAGCACCACGACACCTAGAAGACAAAATGCCTCAACTCTAAGCCATACAGTAAACTCCGTAAGTTTCGAGCTGGAAGAAGATGCTTCATCAGGCCTTCATATCCTATACCCTAATCGCCAACACTGAGCCCTTGATCCTTCTCGGCACTTTTGCGAGAGGCTCCTTTGTATCCTGCGTAGTGTCGCAGAATGTGTTTTGTGTGATTGCCGCCAGTATTTATTTTTCCTATAATTATTACTGTGGCAGTTGCTGGTGTTACTATTGTGAGTGCTAAGATATGGTGCTTATGTTGTAGTTGCGACAACTTGTGAGATATTCCACTTTATTATGTGTCCAGGGTTGTGATAGAAGCCTGCATGGTCGTAGGCTGGGTTCTTGCTAGGGGATTTAACCTAAGTTACCATAATAAGGAGACCATATTAGCCGTATTTTTTTAGCCGTATTTTGCACTATGATTCCCATTGTGGTAACTTAAAGTAAGTCTCTTAACAAGAACCCAGGTTGGGCTTCAGGGTTTCAGGTTTTGCGCTTTGGGGAGTGGGGGGGGGGGGGTTCGGTGTAGGGTGTTGTAACGCAGCGGGTTCAGGGTTTCAGGGTTCAGGGTTTTAGGGTTTAGGGGTTTGGGGTTTTAGGGTTTAGGGTTTAGGGCATATAGTTTATGAAAGTTGAAGGGTTCGACGCCTTGCAGTGAGATTTTCGGGGCAAGAAGAAGCGTTAACCTCTACGGGCCCACACAACGAGGCCAGAAGCGCGGTGTGCACGGAGCCTCCGTGCGGACACTCGGAGTCTTCCACTAGGTTAGGACTTAGGATTTAGAGCTCTAGGGGTTTTACCGTTAATGTAGACGTTTGATGAGTGGAGCTCTACTCTTCATGAGCTTCAATATCAGGATCGCCGTGATCATCTTTTTACGTAGGGTGGTTGAGGCATCAGGGTCTGCATTAGACTCTCGGCTCCTCTAAGCGTTTAAGAGCATGCGTCAAGGAACAGACCCCCACGGTCTTGTTCTGACTTCCGCAGTACTTAGAGGATATATTTAAGTGGGGTTATAGGTAGCTTGATTGTGGGTGGAAGAAGCAACATGGAACGTTTCTTTCCTCACAACCATATGTACGGTTTAGGGTTTGGGTTTAGGGTTTATAGGGTTTAGGTAAACCCTTAACCCTAAACCCTAAACCCTAGTAAGTCCCCTGATCTACACAGTGCTCTTGGAGGGGTTTGGGGCGTAGGACAGCCGCTCAGAGAGCCCAACCCCCCTGCTGGGTTCCAGGGCTCCTGAACTTCAAAGCGAGCAGGCCTTTGGGCCTAAACCCCTAAACCCCTCTACCCCTAAACCTGTAAACCCTAAACCCTAAGCACCTAAACCCCTAGGCCCCTAAGCCGTAAACCCGGGTATCTCTTGAAGCCAGAAGCGTCATCTTCGTACAGATATGCTGCTAGTGAAGCCCATACATGGTAGATATCCTGCTCTCATGTAACTTTTTAGCTGAGTTCCCCGTCCCCCCACAAGTACCCTGTGCAGCGCCCGAAGTACCTTCAGAGCTTGAAAAATACCCTGGGTTTAGGGCTTACGGTCCAGACGTCTAGTGGTAAGCATGTTTGGAGAACGCCCAAAACCCACCAGGGTTTGTGGGGTTCCAGGGTTTTAGGGTTTGGGCATAGGGTTTAGGGTTTGTGGGTTCAGGGTTTTAGGGTTTAGGGGTTTGTGGGTTTAGGGGTTTAGGGTTTAGGGGTTTAGGGTTTGAGGCCGTTTAGGGGTTCAGGGTGCTCCAAACAGGCCTAGACCCCAGTCCCTGAGCCCTAAAAAGTTAATGTCAAGTCCAAGTCCCTGCAAAACACATGGAAACTGAAGTGGGTTTAGGGTTTAATGTAGGAACCTGATTGAGAAACCCTGGCCCGAAAAACTCCAAAATATGAGGATTCATATATAAGGAACCCGAATAAAGACCCCCAGGCTTCTTAATCGGGTTCCCCTAACCCCTAAACCCTACAACCCTAAACCCTAAACACCCTACCAACTGTCAAAAGGTTTGGCGGCCTTTCGGTCGAAAACCTCGAACCCGAAACCCACTGCACTTTAAAAGCATAAAACCTAAACCCCTAGAACCTAAACCCTGAACCCTGCAACAACCCTAAATCCCGGCAGACCACAAGTGTTTGAGGCTTGGTTTGGATGGGCGCTACGTGCCAACGTCGCCGGCGCGGATCTCAGGATGATCTCGGCTTGGTATAGGCTCAGGAAACAGGGTTTCGAGGAGTTGAGGATCTAGCATAAAACAAAGTTTAGGGCGCAGGACTTCTGAAACCCTAAACCCTAAACCGTGTTTGGGTTAAGTTTGAAGTTTGCTGGGTTTTGGATGTTTTGTTTGGCACAAGGAAGTAGCCCCAAGTGCCGACCTAGCGATGCGGAAATACGCAGAATTTGAGGTGGGTTTAGGGTTTAATGTAGAAACCCGATTAAGAAACCCTGGCCCTGTAACCCCCCAGCTACTAAGCCGCAAGTCAGAGACACCGAATCTCGCGGACCCGATCTCCGTTCACAACGGGAGTACTTGGAGGTTCGTGGGTCTTTTTAGTGGGGCTTATAAGTAGGGTCACTTTACCTAAAACCCATATTAAGGGACTTATAACCCCCACCTGTAGCTGCCCATGCACCTCCAAGTGAAGCATCCGATGATCAGACACTCAGCTAGTATAGGTCTTTTGCGAATAGTGGTGCGCATACCCCGGACGTAGATCCCTGGTGTTTTAAACCTCCTTGCTTGAAGTGCCTGAATAGTATGAGTATTCGGATCCCCAATATGATGCCGCTTCCGGGGAGCCGGGCTTGTTCATCTTTGTTCTACACTAACGTGTATCTACGCAAACATTGTATCTCAACTACAGTCAGGAAGGACATCAGGGGGTAGTACAACGACCTTCAAGGTCTCGGGCAAGAGCACCCGATAGATATAGAGCAAAGTTTTAAAAGACAGGGTGCTTTCATTGACTCACATAGACCCTAAATCGTAGCACCCTCATGATACGAACCCTCGGTTTAGTAGGGGCTAAGAAGCTTCCATAAAATTCCCTGAGCAAACCTTGTAAGCCCTTTATCCCTGAAGCCCGATAGCACTTGTGATTGAGAAGCTCCACCCATTTGTCTGCCATAGAAGCGCCCGCAAGACGTGAAGGCAATCGCAGCCGGACTCTTCGGTGTACTGATGGTCGCCCTGCGTTTTGGCAGCAAGCAGAAGGTTTTTGGAAAGATCACAGCATAAGGTTGGTCGGCTTATGAGGGCTTGAGGGGCCCTGGTTGTTTAGGGTTTAGGGTTTAGAGTTTTAGGGTTTAGGGTTTAGGGTTTTAGGGTTTAGGGTTTTAGGGTTTTAGGGTTTAGGGTTACTGTTTGTAGGCCAATGCAGATATGCTTTAGCCGTACTATGCATGACTCGCCAGCCAAAGCCTCATGCGCGCCTGTGCACCACGGGCTTCTGGGCTTTCACGTTTGTGGGTCAAGGGTTAGAGGTTGAGTAGTTTTGGGTGTGAATACTCTAAGGGCGTAGAATATTGTGTGATGCTACTCCCTCAGTTTCATCACACACAGATCCTATCCCATTCACGAAGGCACCTATATTAAACACCTACGCCTTGTAGAACCCTTAGAGCAACCCTTTAAATCCCTTTGTGACAGACCCTGCTCTGGTAGTCAAAGACTTTGGGAGTAGATGGTCGGTCGTCAGTCTCAGGTATTTTGGGGCCCACGTTCGGAGTTTCATGTGGGCTCAGCAGTTCAGTGCCTGACGCTGCAGACCTCGATGTTGATGCAAAATCTGGGGCTTGGCTTTTGGGATCAGGGTTTTGGGGCTGCTTTGGGGCTGGGGAGTCACAGATCGATGCCGTGGTCCATTCCATTCCATGCCGAAATAGCGGATCCGCAACTTTATGTTGTAGGTAAGGCAACAGAGCTTTAGCTCGCCTTTAACCCCGGTGAGGTGCTTATAGCTACGCATGAACCTTCTGGTACACCCGAAGCCAAAGAACCTTAAGGCTTACAGAGCCACCCTTTACCAGAGCCTTCACTCAAGGAACAGCCTGCCGATTGGGCAGCTTGCTTGCGCCTCAGCTGGGGCTCTGACACTATGGGCTTTTGGGTCAGTCCCAGAGCCTGAAAACCCGAAACCCAGAACACCCTAAGCCTAGGCCCCTTTCCAAAGAGCAAAAGCAGCAGTAGTAATAAGAAGACTAAATAATGGCAACAGTTAAACAATACTACTACTAGTAGCTGTCACAATTAAGAACAAGTGAAAACAGGAATGTCGAACAGGACACCCTTAAGCCCTGAAGTCCCAAGCCTGACACCCCTGAGGGTCTACGCCCGCAAACCGATACTGCAACCACAGTTGGACGTTGGACAATACCTTAACCCACCAGAACCTACTTTTTTGTAGGGTCCCTAGAAATTCCATATTAGGGTTTAGAATAAGAACCTACAAAAAAGTCGGTTTTGGTTGGTTAAGGTATTTATAATACAGATACAATTTTTAAGGCCCTTAAACTAACTGGTACTCACAATCATCGACTGTTGGTGTATGGCGGTAGTACCCAAACAATGCTGCTGCTCTTGGCTTTCAGGCTCCAGCAGGTCTCATCGTTGGGGTGTTACATGAGTGTCGGGTTCAGGCTTTCGGGGTGTACAGGTTGAGTCGAATGGCTTGAGGTTTAGGGGTTTCGGGGTGTTTTGGGGCCTAGAGTTTAGGCATCAGGGTGGGCCCAAGCTTCAGCATTTCGGACTGTAGGGTCCTGCCCGGAAGATATCAATGCGCCGGTGATCTCTAGTGCCATGCTATGTGCTGTAAGCACTACTGCTATGCGGTGTTCGGTTTAGGGTTCGCGAGCCTTGAAAGCTGTAGGCTACGTCGTTTTCTCTGCAGCCACCTTTTCGAAAGCAGGGACTGCAGGGCAGCCATGGTGGTGCGCACCATTCGCAAGTCGAAGGAAAACCTGCCCTACAAGCGACAGTCAGTCGTGAACTTCTGCGTCGCCCAGTACAGGAAGTGCAACCTGGCTGGCGTCATCGTCGCGGAGAAACGCGACGATAACCAGAAGAAGATCGCCTACACTGTTGAGCTCTATGGCATAGAAGGCCGGCAGCTCGTCTGACCTTACATCCCACAAGAGAGATTGTCTATGCAACCCAATCAATCCCATAAAGCATTACCAGGGACCCGCCCAAACCGAGAAGATAGCAGTTCACGGCTTACGGGGTCGTACTCAATCATATCTACTTGAAGGTTCATGGCTAATATGTGTTATATAAATCAAGTTGCCTTACTTATAACCGGTATAACTACCCATGAACCTCCAAGCCGAGGAAAGTCATTGCAGTCGCTGACGTGAAGCACTCCAAAGGAGCAGGATACGAGAAAGCAGTGGAGGACACCCATGGGCCATGATAACCCTAAACCTAAACCCTCAACCGGTGAGGCTTGAGGGCCTTTGGGTTCGGGCTTAGCGTTTCAAGTCCAATGCTTAAGTCAAGGACGTTTAAGGTGTAGGTCTTGAGGTTTGCGATTTGGGGCTCAGGGTTTGAGGTTCACAGTTCAATCTTCAGGTTTGCGACGGGACTAATCACCACCCGTCCGTCCCGGGTATAAGTTTTCTTGTCAAAAGCTTTACATAGTGGCGCAGGTATGTGACATGACGGGTCGCGGGGATGTTGATCTTCGGGCCATCTCATCCCCAACCCTAAACCCTACGATTACGCCTGGTACTCTGACCGCCGCTTCAAAACAACGGGGGAAGACCTCAAGGAACCCAAAACCCGGTTTTACGTTCTGAACAGGAGGCTTGAGAAGGAGGGCCTGGGATCCCTTGAATTTTCCACGTAGAAACTTGCGAGCTGACATTGACCCGAAGGCGTTGCGCACGAAGGCCGAGAAGTTGAAGATCAAAAAGCCGAGCTCCAACACGGTCGAGAATTGGCGGCTCTTCGAGAGTGCGCGGGCCAACGGTGTGGCGGCAAAGTTTTATGGTGGCTTTCAAAAACGCTGAACCCCAAACCTTACAACAAGCTTTACTGGATCAGGCTTCTTCTGATGATACTAAAGTGGGGGGTAGGATGCAGGCTAAGCCCTGGGTTCTTGTTAGAGAGCTTGCATACAATTACCATCATATGAGGAGCATGTTGTTTGCCACATATCCCTAGTGCGGTAAGCCATGTCGAATCCCTGAACAAGAGCCCAGTAAAGCCGGGGAAGGGCGCAAGCTGTGCTTGTGCGTAGTGACCGGTGCTGGCCGGGTGACACTGGTGCCGTGGACAAAAAGAGCAAGTGCAGCACACGCCGACTGTAATGCCAGCCATCCGATTCTCAGAAAACACACCATCAAGATCTCGAGTGAAAGCCATACAGGGTTCCATAAAGTTCCTCTGAACAGTCATAGGTTCCGGTTTCATGGTGCATAGGGTGTCATTCGCAGCTTATGGCCTAGATTGTGTTTTTAGCAAGCCAAGAAAGCATGTCGACCAGGAATTGATCTGGTAGGGACATGTTCGGGACGCAAACACGCAGTGCCTTACACATGTTTCTCGCTTCAATTTGATGCGTCTATCTGTCTCTCCTTCTCTCACGTGCATGTGTGTGTGTGTCTATATATGTATATAGATATGTATAGGTGTGTGTATGCGTATGTGTCTGTGTGTTTGTTTTTTCCAGCCGTTGTTATTCATGTTTCTATGTGTAGCTCCATATTGCTACCTGTGTTTGTCTTCTATGTCTCTTTCGAACCTGCTTATCGTGAATAAAGGTTGCTTTGCACACGCAAATCCAAGCAGATCCAATTGCCCTGAAGCTTCTGTCACCCCCTATCCCCCCAATCCGGAGTATGTTCAGCCCTACTGCTTCGCCGCGTAGTTGCATAGTTGCTGCACTATTGCTTCCATGATTGGACTGAAAGCGAAACCCAGGATTTCTGCAGCATAAGCCTGGAATGTTGCCTTCTACCTGGAACAACTTAAGCCGCCGCCCTATACTTGGAGGTTCACGGGTAGTTATAAGTGGGGTTGTAAGTCCCCTAATATGGGTCATAATTACAGTTGCCCTACTTATATCCCCACTTATAACTACCCATGAATCCCGAAATCCTAAACCCTTATAGAACCCTTAAAGGAACCCTATGAACCCTACTTATAACTAGCCATGAACCTCCAAGTACAATTACTTGCTGGTACTTTGTAGGGATCCGAAGGAATGGATCCACGAAATAATCTTTTTATAAACCCGATAATGGTCCCCAAAATCCATTCCTTCATTCCCTACGAAGCTCCAGCAAAATTAGGATGTTCCTAAACCCTAAGCCCTAAACCTAAACCCTTAACCCTAAACCCTAAACCCTACGAAGCTCCAGCAAAATTAGGATGGCGCCTCTCTGCTGCCTGCGGCGCCCGCGGGGTGGCTGCGGGAGACGATCCTGCCCTTCGCGGCTTACCTTCTCCTAGGCGCGTGGACTTCTGGAGGGGGTTTTAGAGTTTTACAGGTTTAGGGATTAGGGGTTTAGGGATGTAGGGTTTAGGGATGTAGGGTTTAGGGATTAGGTGTTTTTTTTTTTTATGGGGTTTAGGGTTGAGGGTTCAGGGTTTGGAATTAGCTATTTCGGCACATGGAGCTTCAACAGCTGAAGGCCCTAAAACCTAAACCCTAAACCGTAGACGTCGGAAGAGGAGGAGGCTTCAACGCTCCGGACACTGAGCTTTGTCGGTGAAAGCCTCTCAAAGTCTGCTTTTATGCGTGCCGTTGTATTAGTGCTTGTCTTCGAGGATGCTACTGGCTATTGTTTCTAGATGTTTCTAGTCTCTGCAGCAGCAGGAGCAGCAGCAGCAGCAGCAGGAACGGTAGAAGTAGTAGTTCTGATGGATTCCCTTCCAAGCCTGCTCGCGTGGAGGTGTGACATGCTTCAGTGCGGACGCAGACAGCTTGTTTCCTTTAGCTGCTGGCTCAGTGTTGCGATGGTGCGGGTGTCATAGACAGTCTTTGACCGAATGCAAGCTTTACATGCAGTGAGAAAGGGCTCAATCATGAAATAGTAACCGCGGTAGGAGTGGTATCCTAAAGCCGTGTGGTTCGCAGCCGTGTCTCAAACATCCGTTCCATGTAAGGTAGAATGCTGTGTTATGCTTGAAGATGAAGATGCGTGAAAAAAACCGAAACGGTGCAAGCCACAAAGCATGAAGCAAGTCATGTTGCAGTGCCGGAAGATGGTCGGCTCAATGCCTGGTGTTTAAAGACAGGAGGGGTTGCTCTAAACCCCTAGTGGAATGGGTAATATAGGGGCCTTAATAATTAGAATAGGGTTTGGGGGGTCCATTATACTATTATTATGATAGGGAAACCCCCAAAACCCTATTCCGATTATTAAGGCTCCTATATTACCCTGAGCCTGAACTCCAATGGAAAGCATGGAAAGGGTGTTGACTTGCGGGCTGGACTTCGATTACCGGTGTTGGGGTTCTGCTTTCTCAGGCATATGGCTTCAACCCCTGAGCTCCAAACCCCATACCTCTAATAAAGCCCTGGAGCCTAAACTAAGGTGATTGGCTTCAGCATTTTCACATTTGGTGTTCGGCCGCAGCTGTCGTCGCGGCCTCGAATGCTGCAGTGTACCGCGTCAGAGCTTTTCTGAAGATTCCGGAGCATTTGTTCAGGAGTTGAGGACCTCTTGCAAGGGATCTGCCCAGACAGCTCCCTTGCTTAAGGAATATACCATAGTTTCTAAGGACACTTAGTATTATGGTGCAAGGTATAGCCCTTTATTCTGGATTCTTGGGCTCTCTGGGTATGGCAGCGCTACGCTGATGACCCCTTCAGGGTTGTCAGGGGGCCTAAATCTGTCACAGAAACTTACAACCAATCAAGAAAGACACCGTAAGGAGGGCGGTTTACTGTGCATTTTGGGATGATCGCTTTTCTTGCAGGTACATTGGTCACAACCGGCAAGCCCAAAAATCCTTCACTTTTACTTTAACAAAGGTCTCAACGACGACAAGTTTTAGGAGGGCCTCCCACAGCATGGAGCCGTTTAAAGTGAGCAGGCAAAGCCGTTCGTCTACTCTTTAAGGTTTAGGGGTCAGGGTTTAGGGGTCAGGGTTTAGGGTTCAGGGTTTAGGGTTTAGGTTTTAGGGTTTAGGGTTCAGGGTTTAGGGTTCAGACCCTAAACTCGAAGTCTTGGCGAATTTCCCCCTTTTTGAATCTGATATCCCGAAATATCCCGAATCCCGCACGCCTACGACGACCCGAAAACCCTAGGCTCCTAAACCCTATGCTACACTTTAACAAAAAAAGTATACCACTTAAACCCTAAACCCTATACTACACTTTAAAAAAGCCTATACCACAACCCGAAACCCTATACTACACTTTAAATAAGCCTATACTACAACCCAAAAACTGCAAATCTCAATGGTCAGGCCGGAGCCTGTTCGACGTGATAACGTCTCGCAGCCCGGGGCTTTGAGAAAGCTTCACCTTGCCGCTGGGAGTTTCTACGTTTTCACCAAGGGTTTTGGGTTTTGGGTTTAGGGTTTAGGACCCTTGACAAATCCTTAGAACCCTCAATGGAACCCCTTGTCCCCCTACTACGCTTGATGGTATGAATCCTGCATTACCCAGAATAAGGAATATACCATAATTCCCATAGGTTAGTGTCCTTAAGGTAATGCAGGGTGTATATCATCAGCCCTAAACCCTAAAACCCTAAACCCTAAACGCCCTAAAACCGTAAAGCTTTATATCATCAACAGTAGTCCTTGGAGGTTCATGGGTGAATCCTTTGACTATTTCTGCCACATCCAACAGGATCTGGACATGAAGCCCTGCGTTTGCAGGGGCCTTCCTGTCTGGATTCTAAACCCTCGCTAAAAGAAACTAAACCCGAAAACCCTAAAACCCTAACATCCTAAAGCCCTAAAACCCGAAAACCCTGAAGCCCTAAAATCCTAAAACCCTAAAATCCTAACATCCTGAAACCCCAAAAAATCCTAAAACCCAAAAAATCCTAAACCCTCCAACGCCCCACGGACCCGAGGCCGAAAGACTTCTCCAGGAGACTCACGGCTGCTGGAAGCCCAAATCAGGGATTCGGGTTTCGGATTCAGGGCTTCGGATTTCTACATGTTTGGGGTTTAGGGCTTCGGATTTCTAAATTTTGGGGGTTTAGGGCTTTAGGGGTTTTGGGGTTTAGGGGTTTAGGGTGTCGGGTTTCGGATTCGGGGCTTCGGATTTCTAAGTTTTTGGTGTTTAGGGTTTTGGGTTTTGGGGTGTTGGGGTTTTAGGGCTTTAGGGTTTCGGGTTTAGGGTTCTTAGTAGCTGAATACCACACTTTAAAGTTCCGAGGCCCATATCCGGCTGAACTCCGCAACCCACTAATATTAGTGTTTAGGGTTCACCTTAACCCCAAAGAACCTGCCTGTTTTAAGGGTTTATACAAGGAAATCATAATAAGGAACCCTAAAAAGGTAGGTTCTTTGGGGTCCCGGCAGGGCTTCGGATTTCAATGTTTACGGTCGACAAAGCCCAAGGATTCTTTGTCCTTGTTCATTTTGTTTGGCTGATGTGCGTTGTGGTTTTGTGCTGTTGTTTTTGGTAACATCACCTCGAGTGACTCCCGCGATTTTGCGGGTTCTAGCGTGCCTTAGCATGCTGCGGGGGGGGGGGGGGGGGGGGGGGGNNGTATTTGCAGTACTTTCGTGATGTTGTAACCCAATACCAACGATGATGATGATGATGATGATGATGGGTTTAGGCGCCAGTACTCCACTGCCCGTCCAAGCGAATAATTGTGAAATCGTCCTCCACGCAAAGTTTTCCCCAAAAGCTTGCTTCGTAATGTCCTCAAAGCCACTGCAAAACGCACAAAATGCCACATTCCAATTGACCTGTCTCGAGGATCGCGCGCTTCCTTATAACATGTGCTGACACCACAGTTTCGCTTCGAGCCTGCACAACGAAACACCCACATGCAAACCGTCAGGAGTCACTCGAGGGGATGTTACCTTGTTT